AAAACTCCGAAAAACTTTGGGTCCATTTGTGGCCGTAATTGATGTGAAAAAGTGGTGACAAATGCCTTGTTTTGAATGATTTGCAACTTTTGGCTCATATTTGTTGCAAACGTTTGGTTTGATTTCACAAACAATTAAAACACAATCAAAGCCAACGATGTCTTTGTCCACAGCTATGGATCAGTTCGCGGCCTTAAGACACGAATCGGTGCCATCGGGTGTGAAACGGGGCTCACATTTGGATGCTATGGTTGGCAATCACGTGAGCGAAGAGGTGTCCACCGGGGTATGCATTGCAGTCACCACTCGCTGTCTTTGATGTCTCTTTAATTGATTATCTCCTCTATTCCTCCACATCTGTATCTGTATTAGACATCTATAATGGCCGTCGAGTTTGATGGCGGTGTTGTGATCGGCGCCGACTCCCGCACAACAATGGGGTATATTTGACATCTCTTTTAGACATCAGTTTATTTTATTAATCAATCGCTTGTTTTGTCCACTTCTTCAGCGCTTATATCGCGAATCGCGTGACCGATAAGTTGACCCGAATTACGGACAACATCTACTGCTGTCGCTCGGGATCCGCGGCCGACACTCAGGCCNTTTAGACATCAGTTTATTTTATTAATCAATCGCTTGTTTTGTCCACTTCTTCAGCGCTTATATCGCGAATCGCGTGACCGATAAGTTGACCCGAATTACGGACAACATCTACTGCTGTCGCTCGGGATCCGCGGCCGACACTCAGGCCATCGCCGACATAGTGTCCTATCATTTGAATTTCTACGAGTAAACGACTCATTGATTGTTGTATTAAATGTTGTCATTAATTGTATTGAATGTGTGGTCAGAATGGAAACGGGAGAGCCGGCGGCTGTTGGTGTCGGCGCCAACATATTCCGCGAGATGTGTTACAACTATAGGGACTCATTGACGGCCGGCATTATATGCGCGGGTTGGGACAGACGCCTCGGCGGACAGGTGTGCCCTCTTATCCACCATCTGATTGGTTATGTTTGTCGTAACGTAATGTATGTGTTCAATAGGTCTATACGATACCATTGGGAGGAATGCTGGTGAGACAGCCGGTGGCCATCGGCGGCTCCGGCAGTACTTATGTTTACGGTTACGTCGACTCCAACTTCAAGCCCAATATGACTGAAGAACAGTGCGTTCAGTTCGTCACCAACAGTAAGACAATGTGTTTGATCCGCTCTGAGATCTCTGTATTAAATGTTTGTGATTTTTGCCGCGAATAGCGTTGGCGTTAGCCATCAGTCGCGACGGTTCCAGCGGTGGTGTCATTCGTCTGGGCGTTATCACTAAGGATGGCATTAAACGCCACGTGATTACCGGCGATGATATTCCCAAGTTTTTCGAGGGATAGGGAGGCGGCGCCCGCTCTGAAGCCCCCGCACGCTGTAACTCATACTGAATATGTATTTTTATGTTTATTTAATTCAAACGATACTTTGATTTATTAATAAAAAATGTTTTCAATAAAAAGTGAGTTTTTAAAAACATGATTCATTTTATTTTGCAAGGCATGCGTTACCTAATCAAGTATTTTGTTTATGAAGTGAATGAATTACATAACCACCTTGAACACTTTCGCACCCTAACAAACACTGTAAACATCTTATAATAAGTTGTCATGAATTCTGTGAATGGGTTTGTATTTGGTTTCAAGTATCCAAGACTTACGCAATTAGGTTACCATTTCATAAACATATGCCATATTGTGTATTCCCCCCGTGTGTCCCATCCCTACCCCACCTCTGGTCTGAATTTGTATATTTGATGCCTGATTTGGCGCCGAAGAACGGAAATCCCATTTCCACTTCCCTTCGATCCCATT